TGGTTCAAACTCCTGAAGAAAGTGAAGATGAAGATGATGCTAGTTCTGTTGCTACCATAAGAACTAGAAATCCAGAGAAGTCAGCCTCTGATTTCAAGGTTGACATGCCCACTTTCGAAGGAAAGAACGACCCTGATGACTTTCTTGAATGGTTAGAGACCGTTGAACGTGTCTTTGACTTCAAGAATGTGTTCGAAGAGAAGAAGGTCAAACTCGTGGCCTTAAAGTTCAGAAAGTACGCGTCAACATGGTGGACCAACATCACCATTAGGCGTAGAAGAGAAAACAAGTCCCCGGTGACCACGTGGAACAAGATGCGAGCACTCTTGAAGAAGAAGTTTCTGCCCGAGAACTACATACGAGAAAACTTTGCTAAGCTTCAACACTTGAGGCAAGGCTCTCGTTCTGTAGAGGAATACAACCGAGAGTTCGAGTAACTCTTATTAAGGTGTGATCTTCAAGAAGATGATTCACAAACTTTTGTGAGGTATGTATTTGGATTGAATGTCCAAATAGCTAACACCGTGGAACTGCAAGACTACCAAGCCCTTGACGATCTTACAAAGTTGGCTCTCAAAGTTGAAAGCCAAATCAAGAAAGGCAAGGCTGCCTAAATGAGAACCTCTTCTTCGTACCCACCTTTACTCCCCACTCCTTCATCCCCTCCACATCCCACGTCCTCTCACCATAAACCCATACTTCCAAACCCTCCCTCAAATATCCAAAATCAATCCCGGCACAATCATAACATCAACCGAACTCCGAAATGTTATCGTTACCAAGGCAATGGTCACATAGCTCAAGATTGTCCCAATAAGAAGGTCATGACTCTGGTGGAGTGCAATGATGATACTTTTGACCCTTCATGGGATAAAGAAGAAGAAGAGTATGTCGGACCTGATGATGGAGAGCTGTTGGTCATTCGTAGAACTTTAAGTGCGATGGCCTGTCCAAAAGAAGAAATACAACGAGAGAATATCTTCCATACTCGTTGTACAATCAAAGGAAAGGTGTGCTCTCTCATCATTGATAGTGGGAGTTGTACGAATGTTGCCTCTAAGACTATGGTGGATAAACTCCAGCTGAAAACCTCACCACACCCGACACCGTACACGATTCAATGGCTGAATCATGGTAAAGGGTTACGTGTTGACACTCAATGCTTGGTGTCACTAAGTCTTGGACAAACCTACAAGGATGAAATATGGTGTGATGTGATCCCGATGGATGCTTGTCATGTGCTGCTCGGACGGCCTTGGTTGTTCGATCGTAGGGTTCTTTACGATGGATACGCTAACACGTATTCATTCCTCAAAGACAATAAGAGAAAAAAAAGACAATAAGAGAATCACCCTTACTTCTCTTCATCCTGAAGAAAAATCTCCCGTTCATCTGTCAACATTGATACGAGCTGGTAAATCTGAATACATAGAAGAAACTCGTCGTGAGACGATAACAACGACGCAAGTCAACCAGCATGTTTGTGGGAACGTGAATGTAAACACGAGAGGCCTCAATGATCAATCCAAGCCAATTTATACTCCGAGTTTGAGGTCAAACTCTTTTGAAGACGGGGAGGATGTTGTACCCCACCATGCATCACCAAAGGGTAAGCAAAATCAAGAGTTAATGCTTAATTGTTATAATCCTTATTGGGTTGAATTCATTCCTTCTTTCCATCAAAA